TCATCTTTTCTTTGGTGAAGATAAGTTTCCATCTATTCCATGCAGTCTCAGTTTCATATAAAGAAAATATCTGTGTTTTCTGACAAGCAAAGGTCTGGCACAAAGATTTATTAAATGAGCACATCTTTCCACGTCTGTGGCATGATAATTTTGAAACATAATGAAGACCAGGGATGTTATACCACTGCTAATTGTTCCTTCTGATTTGTAGTCACTTCACATGCAGAGCAGACTGTGTATCCTAGGGTCCTGTTTATTAGCGTGAAAGGACCCCATGGAACACAAAACAGAAACACAGTCACATGGGAAAAATGTGGGTTAGAGTTGCACAGCTATTGAGGTTAAATAAAATTGTTTATAAAAATGTTATTTAACTGCTGGTTTCAGAAGCACTTTTTACAGTTCAACTTACACCTACAAAATAGGAGAATATAGCATCTGTTACTGAGGAAAACCAGGTTACCCAGTGAGACAATAGTAAAGGAGAAGGTGGAATCCGAATCCTGTCTCCCTTTACTTCATTATAGTTGTTAAATTTACCATCAATTCAGCAACAAAGCAGTACAGGTTTCATTTCCTTATTCAAAAGCTTCATGCAGAAAAAAATCCACAAAAGTACTTAAAGGCTGATTTGTAAAATTAGATTTTAAAAAAACATTTTTATGTGATATAATCCTCTTATCTGTGTAGTAATGACATCACTTAGATGATCATGCATCTTGCCCATTCTGCAGCAAATAAGCAGTTCTTAAGTGTTATAAAATTCTTCTGCCTTTTTTCCTTAAAGATAGGATAGCTTGACTGTGCAGACTGAACTTATATATTTATGTTTCCTTTTGTTTATGTATTGGTGTTCCTAATCAATGACTGTCCTTGTACTCAGTTGTGTAGATTAATTAGATTAAATCTCTCCCAGTTCAGGAAATGTACAACTAGGTTACTGATGTGGACAGGTTTCCCAAGGTGGGTTCTTTCCTGTATTGCAAATAGGAATGAAATTGTTCCTGTCCTGGCTAGAACACTGCTGTCCAAGGAAGTTCAGCTCTTAATTATTACCTTCTGCCAGCCTGTTGTATTCAGGGGGTCAGTGTGGCTTATCTGGGGAGGAGCCAGCACAGTACCAAAAGCTCTAAGAGAGGTTCCTCTGTCCTTACATTGCCGTGATAAAATGTTACTGAGATTCAGTATTTTTCATGTTTGTTCATTGTCTGGCTTGCAGGTTTTGTGGCATCTGAAATTGTTTCAATGTATTACTGTAATTTAGACTTTTTACTCATGTGTTAACTTCGTTTTGCTCCATTCTGCATCTGTTTCTCTGCACAATGTGCTTCTGAATGCCCTTCAAACCCACGTGATGCGTGTCCTCTGGGCTCAAACTTAGTGCTTCTCCAAACAGCAAGAAGAGGGGGTTGAACACCCTGGTGTTGAACTTTTTTCTTGCATAGGAGGCTCTGACTGAGTGGAGTCAGTTCACTTTACAGGGTTCAGGAAAGGGAAACAGCAAGTTGCCCTGACTCAGAGGTATCCTCAGGACAAATACTGCTTGACTGCAGTTAACATAGTTCAGGAAGGGAGATGGACAATGCAGAAGGGCATTCTAAAAGACAATTTACACATCAGAATTTAGAATTTAGTCTACAATAGAAAATAATAGCAATATTAATGTATCCATAGAAATATAAGCAATATATAAAATTGTACTACTTTGGATAATTAGAGAAATTAGGTTTGAATCTGTTTTTCTAATCAATATATTTTGAGTACAGCTAACAGTAAGTTATGGAAAGCTGTGGATATCAGAAGCCAAGAACATAGTAACTACATTAACAAGACCTATTGTATTAATAATATATGATATGGTTTATCTTGTTTTGTCCTTTGTTAATTCTATGTTTGAATTTGCAAACTTGAGGATTCTCAGAATTCTCACAATTCTTCTGATTTCTTGAGTAGCTTTTAGTATTTTTTGCATTTATAATAATCTTCTCTTGGGATTACATTATCCCTGGGCAGTGACTGCTTTTGTTTGAAAGAGGAGTTGCAAATGTCAGAAACCATACACTGGAAAAAATAGGAGCAGAAGCTGTTGTGTTTTCTGTTAATTGGATATAGAGTTGAAAGATATTTCTTTCCTTCCATTTTAATGTCTTGTTTGTGCTGAGCAAAAAGAGCTCTACAGCCTTGTGGGTTATGTTAGAAGCTAGACGTGTGTGGCCTTTCACTGTGCACTGAAGTGTTTTATATAGCACAGTTAAATAACCTTGAAAATTTTACTTTTTTGGCAATGAAAATGCAGATATATCCTGAATCATACAAAGTTATAAGCCTACCTTTGTGAATAGTCAAGATAGACTGGTGTTCTATTGTTATGACTTCCCTTTTCTTTTTCACACACAGAATTTTTGTCAAAGCTGTGAGAAGTATACTGTCCTGTTCCAAACAATACAAAGATGCTGGAATTAGCAGTTATGTATACCAAAAGATTCCATGTAGTGACTTCCACATAGAGCTGCACAGCCAAGCCCACAGCACTGAATTATGCATGGCATTTTTAATGGTGGAACAAAAGGAGCAGCAGAAGGAAAAGCGGCAAAGTGCGTGCTGCCTTCACTGGTTATTAGGCACTAGTGTACATGCATGCAAATCCCAGGATGCTCTTTATTGAATCTCTGGTGCTGTGCTATACAAATCAAAGCTGTATGGAAGCCATACCTAATGAGGGAAGAATAAATAACAGGAGAAATCTGACAAAGGGAAGTGCAGAATGCATACCAACTTATTGTACTTTAGAGAGTGAGAAATAAAGTTCTTACATTTGGCTGGATGCTGAAAGTACCAGCTACTGTAAATATTTACTTTGCAGTAATTGAAAGGATTAGTCTTATTTGTTAGTCCACAGTGATGATGCCTCTCACTGTCTATTCAGTGAAAACTGGGAAATTGTAACTAAAATTATTTACAGAAGAGCTGCTGCATTTTAAGAGGCAGCTGCATCTAAAGTCAGCTCATTGAAATTCTTTACCCTGTTGAATTTATTGCTTACACACATTTTATATTGAAACCCAATACTTGGTGTCTGAAAGTAAAGACTGACTTAACAGACCTGCTCTGTAGGTTTTTGAATATGCAGGTTTCACTAGAAAACTTGGTAAGGATTCTGTTTCAGTATTGATTTTCTTCCCCAAATGCACCAACCCCTACACTAAACATCTTTTGAGCCTTTTGCAACAGTAGTACTAACATAGATCAAGATAATTTTTCTAGGCCAGAATATAAAAAAATTGAAAATATTGTAGTGTAAAAAATTATTTCTGCTTACTTCACCATTTCTGGTTGTTGAGAAGAGGTCGTTGCTTGCCAGTGCTGTCAGGCTTTAAGCCAATGCCAGTTTGGTGATACCAGGATGCTCCATCCATCCATCCATCCATCCATCCATGATGCTTTATTTTTGCCTAGGAAAGGACCCACTCTGGGACTCCCAGTCCTCCTCACTGCAAAAGCAAGCTTGTCTCTTCTCATATGCAGACTTGACCCTGCATAGAGTCCCCACCACTCCCCTCCCCCTACCTGTGCAGTTCAGCCATTTCTCACCAGCTCCCTCCTTGCCAGCCTGGAGAATCCGACAGTGCCTTGCATCACTGTCTGTAGCATCTGCCAGCTACTGATGCTGTTGCCTGTCACAAGCAGCAATTTCTTATGTCAGGGTCAATAGTTTCCCATATCCTGAAGCTTTCCTTAACCTCTGCTCAGGCCCTGATGAGTGCCCTCAGTGTTGGGCTGCAGGCCAAGAATTGGCTTCTTGGCCATTGTAACCACCTGTTGAAAGATTGTCCATCACACAGGTGGGAAATGATGTGTGTTGCTGGAGAAACTTGTTGGGAGAACAATAAACTCATCAAGTTTATTGATCCTTCTCTGGAAAATTGAGTATAAAACTCTGTTCCCAAGTGGACTTCATTGAAATCAAATGCAACAAAGAAAGTTACTCGTGTTTTTCCCCCTCAACTGCAGATTATTTTTTTTAAGAGTTACAATGCTATGAGTATTTCAAGGTAGACAAAATTCCTGAGACCTGAAACTTAGTGAAAAAGAGAAATAAAGGAAAGCTTCAAGGGGGAGCATCCCAGAGAGAAGCAAAAAGAACCACTTTACTAACAAGCCAGGCTTGAAAATACTTGAAAAGGTAAAAGCATTTCCACAGTCACACTGCTACTTTACAGATATTCAAAGGCTGGGAGGGGGGGGAAGTATTTTTAGTATTTTTGTATTTTTTTAGTATTTTTCAGTGCATGAAGACTTAATGTTAAAGGTTATCCTGTTATACTAAGCTCTGTTGTATTGCCAGCAAGCATTACTATATTACCAGCAGTTTAGTGCAAACTTGATTATTGGTATTTTGATAGCCAAACTCTAGTAGATCTAACTCAATTTCAGGCTCTCTGCCATCTTCCCATTTATAATATTCAATTTTCAAAGCTATGATGTGTATTACCATTGGCAGTGCTACTGTCAATTTGTCTTGGCTTCTCTGCATGGAGTTTATTTTTATTTATTTATTTTTCCTGCAAGTCACTGTGTGCACTCAATTGGTTGCTATTTTAACAAGATCTCTGGAGAACTCCTCAGCGATGATGCATGTTAAGAAAAAAGGCAGAAAGCAATTTACAACCAAGTAGATACCAGATGAGTGGGCAAGAGTCCAGAGCTGAAAAACCTTAAACATGGAAAAGAGCTTGTTAGCATATGCTTGTGCCACACTTAGAACACATAATGAGAACAAGATCAGAGGCAAAGTTGTTATCTCACTGGAGTCAGTAGCAAGATTTGATATCAGAGAAGTGATCACTTTGTCCCTTGTGTTACTTGTGGGTCACTTAAATACATTTCTAGCATTGCAATTACTGTGTATATTTTCCTAAAAATGCCTCTTGAAATATTTATAAAGTATATTTTAAAAGTGTAACTTTGTCCCAACTTTTCATCTTTTCTTTTTTTACCACCAGACATTCACATTCAGCTGGGAAAAAACTGCTGAGAGTAGAACTACTTCCATATGTGCTCTCCAAAGACAAGTGCTCCTCTGTGTTTTTTATGTTATTAAGTATAATCTTGATGTGGTTGGAAATGTTAAATATAGGTGGTGTTTTGAGACACACAATCTTCTCTTTTTCAGGTGGGCCATGCACAGGTACAGCTCATGCCTCGTTAACCACACCAACCAAAAGATCTTGTGACTCAGGTATGTGTTTTTTGGGATAAAGAAATTAGGTTTTGCATTGTATTGAGCAGTTATAGTTTAATAGAAAAGGGTAATAACTGTACCTGCAAATGCCAAGTGAAAATACATATTGTTACTTTGCTGACAGAAGTATACCTATAAAAGGATTAGTATGGCAGATAGTTCATCTGAGAATCCTGTTAAACATAATTCTATAAATACACTCTGCTTTCAGTTAATCTTTGTAAAAACAAGACATACAGGAGTAATCTGTTTAAGTCTAATGATTGTGACAGCGTTCTGGAAATCCTGCCCTTGAAATGCAAAGTATTGAGTAGAAAACTGTTCTGAGTACGTTGCCTTTCCCTGATTGAAGATGCAGTATAGACAGCTGATCTTTGCTTTGAGACTAAATTTTACCTTCTTTGGGTTCTTTTTGATGCCTTTATTTCTATGTGCAGGATGTAGATGGACAATGTCTCACAGAGCTGGTATTAGGAGTGACTTGTTAGGTCACTGTCAGGCTGAAGTCACTGCTTCTGAATCAGATCTGTCCTGAAGTACCACATCTGCACTCATTCAGTCAGGCAGCCAAGTTACCTGCACTGGCTCAGGTCTTCTGCAGGCTTTGGTTTTGTGAGGATTAAGGAAAACTCACACGATTCTTGGACCACTCTTGGAAGCCATAATCTCCTGGGGAGCAGTGGGTGTGTAGGTAGTGGTAATGTTCTTGCAGTCTATGTTTCCAAAATAATTTTTGCCTGTATTTGCATTTATGTGCAGAAAGGAAGGATATTCCAGTTTGAGTAAGGGCCCTTGCTCTTTAAGGAGTTCAGGGGAAATTTCATCTGAAGTCATTCTTTCAAAAAGTCTTTCAAGTCACTGCTTGAGCTGAACTGTAGTTATTCCACAGGTGGTGTTAGCTTGCAGCAGGTGTGTGGTGATACAAGTTGGCTTGTTCTGCAGTGAAGGAAGGTTACAGAGAAGCTGCTTTAACTTGCTCTTGCTGCAGAGGCAGACTTCTCAAGTAGGACATGATAATCTCTGACAGTGAGTGTTTTTTGCCAAAGGAACTGAGTTTGGAACTGAAGGATAGTTCTTCAAAACAGGGAGACTGGATTTTCTTTTCTGTGTAGCCATGGATGTGTATCTAAACAAGATGGAATGTTTGCCACTCTATCCCTTGAAAACGAATCTGCTTTGCTGATGGTATTTCTAAATTGTATTTTCTTTATATGTTAGCTGTTGTAACGTTTACCTGGTTTTCATGGCAGAGTAATTTAAAAGCTTGCTGTGGTGCTACAGATACAGTAAACCGAGAGTATTGTTGGAAATTTTTTGTGTGTGCTTAGCAAAAAGAAATGTATGTTCATTATTTGGAGTGTGAAATGGTACCAGTAAAAGCTCCTTGGAGTAAAGCAGATGAAACCACAAGACATATTGAAAAATGTCTTGGCTAACTTTGCTCAGTAGTTCTTTTATTTTCAGTTTGTGCTCTTGTTTGGTCTGTACATGCTTTTATGTTTTTAATTTAGTGTGTTTTGCAAGAAAAGGAGGAGATGGCCTTAATTTGATAGCACAACTTTAATCTTCAGCTAAATCTACTTTAGAATTAGAATTTAGATTTTGAATTACCTCAATTTCCCTTGAGGTTCTTAAATTATTTGCTCAGTAATCTACATATTATCTTTATAGTCCCTCCCATGAATAAACCTGGTACCAGGAGTTAGGTATCTTCTCCAGATCTTGAATTTTCAGCAAACTTTCATCTTTAAAATAAATTACCATGTTGTCATGGGAATTGACAAAGAAACATTGGCTACAAAATATTACCCAGAAGTGCTGTGACATCTTCAGCCAAGAGCAGCATACTGTGTGGGTGAACAGTTGTCAGGGTTTAACCACAAGGCCAAAACACAGCCCCATTATCTACAGTGAAGAAAATTAACTCTATCCCAGTCAAAACCAGCACATTCTTTCACACTAGAATCACTTCAGCTTCCCAGGAAGCTACTTAAATGATGCAAGTAGTATTTGTCAACACTACACATTGTTCATAAACCTATTTTCTGTAAGTATCCTATGTTTCTTATGCTTGGAAGAGCTTTGAGGAAAAAATGTTGCATTGGATTTTATCTGTGTAGTTCTGTTCACCCTTCAGCATAGTTTATCCCCGAAGTTCCCTAGATCAGCATTTGAGACAGAAAATTAGAAATTTGACCTACTTATTTTATATGTAAGTTTCCCTCAGAATATTAAGGAAGGAGACAAACCTTTCATATTTTATCAGCATGAGTGTAACAATCGAAGAAAGATCAAAACAATAAATCTGCCAAGGTAAAGGAAAAGTTCTCATAGAGAAAAAAGAGATTTTACCTATATACTTGTCAACCTGCATGCTGTAAGAGCTGTTCTGATAAAAAATAGTATTATGACACCAAACAGTGCGGTTTTTCCTCCTGTTCACTAGAATCATCACTGTGGTAAAAGTATTTCTATTCCAGTGTACCCACAGGACAGGGATTACAATGAAAAAAATGAATAAAGCCTTGCAATCATTAGTTTGGATGATGCCTCAAAGGCTTCTGAGTGCTGGCAGTCTGAAGATTTTGTAGGAAGAAAGATGGGGCTGTGTGGTCCAGTGTATAGCTTCTTATACATTTTGATTTGTTTCCTAATGGTTGGGTAATGTGATGATTGATGGCAGGTACTGGGAGGCTTCCTCTAGTGCAGGGCATCCACATCCCATTTGTATCAGGTGCTCTTGTTGGGAAAGTGCAGTAGCAAGTAGCATATTACTCTTGTTTTTCTGCTGTACAACTTTAATGATGATTTACTACACAACTCTAAACAGCCAGATTTTATAACATTTTCATGCAGCTTAAAGAAACCTGGAAAAAATTTGATGGAACTGTGTGAGTATGCTCACTTAATTTTTAATTGTGCAGTAGAGAAGGTGGTAGAAACAGGCAGATAAAATGTGGTAATGATACAATCAATTCATACATTATATTCATAAAGTTGGTGAGGTTTTAAGTACTTTATTTCTCAGTAGCAGTTCATCAGAAATGTGCATCTGTAATATTTTGTATAGTTATATGTGTAGATAGTGTTTTCTAGGTTAAAATTTGAGTCTAGAAGATGGAAATAATTATTTCACTGCTTGAGTAAAGTGGTTAAATAGGGCTGTGGTTCTTTTTGAAGTTTTGACTTTATTGATGTTCTTCTACTAAGATATGTGCTTACTTGTAACATTGCCAGGAATCCAAATACATTGAGGTTGAACCTCCACAATTGACAGGACAGCCTTTGAGGAGATGTAGGAAGGTCAGGTTATGAAAATAGAAGTACAGAGATTTTGAGCCTGAGCTAAAACCATGAAATCATTACATTGATATGATCATTTTTTTAATCAATCTTTATGTGTTGAGCAAGGACAAAAGGACCTCATACACCACTAATTAGATTTTCTTTTTTAATTGCTCCAAAGTGTTAGGCTCCTGAGCAAAAAATACACAAAAGATTACTGAAGAGGGCTTTATAGCACCAAACCAACTTTGAGGTCTGTTTCTCATTGGTGTTTCAAGGGACTATTAAGGTGTTCTTTAGTGTTTGACTTCTGGAGGGCATTGTGTTGAAATCCAGCCTTCTTGGAGCTCTCTCACCAACAGGAGAGTGATGCTAGAACAGCCTTTGAGCAGCATAGTAAATCACCCAGCCCTAGCAATAATAGTGCCCATTAGGGACGCTCTTCCCCCTCCCCGTGCTCAGTTTCCAGCTGCACTAATAGAGCAGCACATCAAGCAAGGCTGTAAATAAAAGTTACAACCTAATAGGTGGGTGCTGAAGTGGAACGGACGGGAGCTGAGGCATGGAGGCCTTATTGCTGCTCATCAGCAATTACAAACAGGATGAAGTGCCTGGGACTGGCACTGATGTGGCAGGAGCTGATGGAGGCTGGGGGATGACACCAAACTGTGATCAGATGATGGATGGTGATGCCTTTTTACTGCCTCAGCTTATTGCCTACTTCTGTGACATGCTGGATTGTCTGTTCCATGCTCCTGTGTCTATCTGGATGGACAGATTGGTTTCCTCTCCTCCTGGTTACCTAAGAGCCTTCTCAAAGTGTTATGATTATTGTTGATTAAAATCCTCCTAGTGGTAAGGATCATAATAGTCATAGCAGTAAACAAAATTAAGGACTCTCTCTAATTTTATGATTTATTTCCACTATTGCCTTTCTCAGCTTTACAAAGCCCTCCTTGTTCATTAAAAATAGTGGTTATGGTTCACCTGAACTTTCTTTTACACTGAAGGCATCCCATGATTTTAGACTAATTGAGTTAGTTGGAAAATCTAAAGAGATGGGTTTGGGGTCAATACATCAAAAAGTTTGTTAAAAGTCAGCTGTAGCTGTGATGATCCTTGCCTCTGAGTTTAAAAACTTCAGCTGTTCCTGGGAAGGTTTATAAGGGCTTGTTAGCACACAATAATTGGTTTTGTTTGTTTGTTTTTTTTTTTGTAAAAAAGTCTTTCTTGATTTTTATCTATCACAGTCTAGCACATTTCTGTGCTAGACATCTAAATCATCGCTTTACTAAACTGCAGTGAAAAAAAAGCCTTGAATTTTAGTCTGTAGTTGCTTTGAACTAAACAGAAATTTTGCAAGCATCTTCATAGTTCATACATTAATCACTCATGCTGTTTACTTTTGAAGAGAATTTTCTTCCAAGTCGTGGAAAAAACACAGCATTCAGAAATGAAAAGGCGTGCAGCAGCATGACAGCATGTGAAAA